ATCTATCTATCTATCTATCTATCTATCTATCTATCTATCTATCTATCATCTATCTATCTATCATCTATCTATCTATCTATCTATCTATCTATCTATCTATCTATCATCTATCATCTATCTATCTCGCTATTTCTTATTGATTCTGTTTCTATGGAAAACCCTGTTCTCCAGTTGGTCTCAGTCTTGGCTGTTTTGGCTCCTTGTGTCCCCTCAGAGCACTTAGTCTAAGGCTTGACCCATAGAAGATGGGGACAAATATGTGCTGTTGCACTCACCTCTGCTCAGGGGGAAGACTGACCAGGGGGGATGGGAATCTCAGCTCTTTCATTAAGACCATGACCTTGTATGATTTCCTTAAGTTCCCTGAGCCTCCACAACCTCGTCCATGAAAGGGAGCCCATGCTACCCTCTCACAGGCGTCATCGTGAAGATTTAATGAGATCACAACTCTAAAACCTGGCACATAGTAGGCCCTCAGAAGTGGCTGTACCTGATTCATGATATAGCGGTTGTGGTTGAACAATGCAATTACAGGAAGAGTTTTAGACAATTACATTTAGTAGCATAAATTCTAAAGTAAGTTAAAGGCTGATTTTAGGGGTTAAGATGTTTAAAATGCAGTGAAGGGTGAGATATTGAAGTAATAACAATCTTGGGGAATTATAGATATAACAATTTAGTGCACACTTCAGCCCAATAATGTTGTTCAGTAGGTAAGACATTTTGTGTGGAAAAATGAGCTGGCTCTTGCAACTGAATGAGAACGTTAAACTATCACAGTCTTCCCCCCATACCTCCCTTTTTATATTCTAAATGTTCTTTTACTGAATGACTCCTAACCTCCACAGATTTAATATAATCTTCCCAGACCCTGGGAGTTAAGCCTAGGGCTCTTTTAGGTCTTTAGCCTACCAACAAATTTATTGGATAACTTAGGCATCATCTATCTGGGGCACACTGCGTCCCATGTGGGTCCTCACCCCAGCCTGTGGGTGTTGAGGTTCAGAATCAAAGAGCCTTTGCTGGGAACATATAAGGTGCTAGTCACCACCGAGTTAGCTCTGACTCAGGGTATCATTTTATTTTCTTCCTAATAACCCGTTGGGATTGGTATTACCTCCATTTATAAAGGAGAGTGAACAAAGGTCTGGGAAAACTGAAAGACTCAGCTAGGATATTCTGTTTATACTGTTGGTTACATAGTGAGAGAACTATGACATTAAGCATAGTATCCCCTGCACCCAACTTCAGGGTCTGTCTTAAGGCAAGCTTTGCGCAATTGGCTTTATCCAGATGGCTTATGTAGAAAACACTGAAAATCTCACTTTTGTAAAATCACACAATTCCCAGTGCTCAGTTCATCCTAGTTCTGCTCCTGGCCCGCATGCTGGTCCCCAGTGATAATGGTTTGTCCCAGGCTGGAAAAATTTAATGACTTTGAGAAAACCCATACTTCAAACAAGTGAGTACTTATGAATGGAGAATGACAAAAGGAAAGAAAGAAAAAAATTAGGAATGGTGGACAAATGGATAAAAGGAAAGGAGGGAAGAAGGGAAGGAAAGAACGTTTACCAAGCAGTTGAGGATTAATAACGCAGTCATCTTTTCCTCAAGTGCTTTTTAGCCCAATTTAAAACAGTAAAATGTAACCCTAATTTTCTGAGGATCTTTGCATATGTGAGTCACACACACAGAATTTGTATTTAAAACTCTCTAATTGGTGCCTTTAGCAAGAGATATGCATAGCCTCTAATTAAGTGATGGCAAATGTCACCCTACGCTTTGGGAGGCATGCCCTTTTTCCATTTGAGTAATGTAAGAATACCTGCTCATTGGAATCAAAGTGCTGCTAATGTATCAGGCATTACAGGTGCCAGCAAGGTAAAAGCGTGCTCAGCTCATTTATCAATGTGCTGGTCACTGTATTAAGACCTGTGGGCATTATCGTAACTAGCTTACTGCCTTTCCCTCAAGAGGGCTCACAGTTCCATGGGAAAGAGAAACAGGGGAATAGCTAATGGCAATGAGAGCTGGCGGTGCAGGGTGACGCTGGGGGGCAGAGGAGGACAAGTGAAAGAGGTGGGGCTGGAGATGAATCTGGAACAAATTAGAGGAGAGGGGTCGATATCACAGTGAAGGCCAAGGTATTGGAAACTGAGGTAGCTGAGGTCTTTGGGTGGCTTCACCTAATCTTGGGGTAGACAGAGCTGCTGATGGATCCCAGGCAGGGACGTGTAGGATCAGCTTTACCTTTAGGCAGGCTTACCTCTCACCTATGCAGGGATCCAATCCCACCCTCACTCTGAAGCAGGGACTAGAATTGCTTTTAAAATGCTATTATAGTTATTGTAGTTAGGAATCACTTTAGAGCAAGAGCAGACACCCACTCAAACTAGTACACATTTCTTTAAATGGTGGTTGTGGGAAGATCTATTGAAAGGCTTCCCTTGGCAACCTCAGATACCCCATGGTAGGCTTACAAGTCCGTGAAGGGTGAGCAGGGCCTGGACTGGGAAACAAGAGTAGGAGCCAGCCTCCACAACTCCTGCAGCTGCTCGGTGCTTCTCTCTGCATGTTGGCTCTCAGATTGTCAGATCCTGACAGACTAGATTCCTCTGATTTTAATGGTTTCTCAGCTTCCCCTAAACCTTGATTGATCTTGCAAGAACTCCAGCCCCAACTCCTTATGAACTTTTATCTCAAGTGCCCATCACCAAGCAAATTTTAGTTTCTGGGCCTCTTAAATGAAAATTTAAATATCTAACTAACTGGCCCAACCTACTCCACCCATCAACTCTTCATGGGTTAGATGTCCACCCTGGTCTATGCGGCTCTACCAAGGGATCAGGTGAGAAGGGGAAGTCAGGCTTGACAGGCAAAAGACCAGCCTGACCACTAGAATGACCTATGTACTAGGGTGTAGTTAACCTCACTAGAGCATTTTGCAGTCAGTACAGCATGTTTTTTACTCACAGTTTACTTTACCCGGGGAAAAATATTGGAGTTCTGAAGATCAAGGACCTAGTAATGGCCAGAGGGTCAACTTTAGGGTGAAAGTAGAAAAATTCAAAGGGTAAATCATCAGCCATTTGGTCCTGATGCTTGGATCGAGTGTTAATGCACTTTTTCAGAGGTGGGAACAAAGAGAAGAGAGCCAAGGAGTGCTCCCAAAAATGCATCTGTGCTTTAGGTAATGGCACGTTGGATGGGAGACGTAATTTCTCCATAAATGGGGCAGAAATATCACACTGGTGTTTCCTCTGTGTGAACACAAGGACACAGCCATTTTCCAGATACAAGGCAGAGTCAAGAAGCAGTTTTAAGGGGCATGGTATGACAGAACTCAGCCTCAAGAAGAGTTGTGCAGCAAAGAGGGACATTATCTTGTGAAGAATTGATAAAAACCAGTTCTTCCGAAGTTACATCCAAATGGAGCAAAGCGTGAGCTGACTGGCCTCAGCCTATTGGAACAAAAAGGCAAAGCATTTGTCAGGGGAGGGAACTGATTAAATAAGAAATAACAGCCAAGCCACTGGATCAACATCTATTGCTTCTTTCTGGAAAAGAGCAGGTTCTCTAGTGTTCTGTGCAGCCAGGGTTTGGAAGTGGCTCTGGATGATTCTGTACATGCCAGTGAATCCTGGGTGATACAGCTGCTGTCTCTCTCCTGCCACTTGGCTAGCTTTCTTCTCAAACTTTGTTCTCCAGCCAAATCTAACTGTTCACATTTCCCCCCCATGGTGTACCAGGTGCTTTTACTGTTGGGACTGTGCTTATGCACGTTCCTCTGCCAGGGATCCTCCACATCCTTTATCCTGGATTAATTCCTATTGCTCATGACTCAGAGTCTGCTTTTCCCAGGAAGAAATTCTGGATTACCATGGCTGGGTTAGTGCTTCCCCTCTCTCTTCCATAGTACTCTGCTTTTCCTCTTCTTACCGACCCCTTACCATACTGGTTATCATGGATCCCTCTCTAGTCTGCAAGTCCCATGAGGATAAGGACTTTGTTCTTGCCCCATATTGATTGAGGCATAATTTACACATGATACAATCTTGAAATATCAGATTGGTAAATTTGATAAAGGCAGACAAGTGTACCCATCACCACAATCAAGATACAGGACAGTTCCAGCATCTCAGAGAGTTTCTGGGGGCCCCTTTCCAAGGGAACCCCACTCCACCCCCAAGCCCTGGCAACTACTGTCCTTAGGCTTTGGCATTTTTTTAGAATGTCATATGAATGTCATCAAACAGATTGCAGTCTTTGCATCTGACTTCTTTTGCTTTATTTCACCAGCAAAATGCTTTGGATATTCATGCACATTGTTGTATGGATCAGGAGTTGATTTCCTTCAATTGCTAAATGGGTGTCCATTCTAGGAACATACTGAAATTTGTTTATCCGTTCACTGGTTGATGGCCATTTTCGCTTCCAGTTTGCCACTATTTTAAATAAAGGTTCTACAAACATTTACACACAAGTCTTTTTGTGTAATTTATGTTTTCAGTTCTCTTGGATAGATTCTGGGAATGGAATTGCTGAGTCATTTTACAAGAATTGTTCAACTGTTTTCCACAGTGACTGCTAAACTATTTTCCAAAGGGTCTTCTTTTGCATTCTTACCAGCAATACCTGAGTCTCAGCTGCTTCACATCTTCATTGGAACTCGGGATTGCATCTTATCTTAACCATTCAGCGGGGGTGGGTATTATCCCGTTATGGGTTTGCATATCCTTGAAAACTACTAATGTTGAGCATCTGTTCATGTCCTTATGAGCTGTTCATATATTTACTTTGGTGATAGGTCTGTTCAAATTTTTGCCCTTTTTTTTTTTTTTTTAACAGATTATCTTATTATTGAGTTGTATGAGTTCTTTATATGTATGGATAAAAATCCTTTATGAGATGATCTGAAAATATTTTCTCCCAGTCTATGACTTAAAAAAAATATTTTCTTAGGTGTGTTTTTCAAAAATTAGAAGTTTATAATTTTCATAATGTTTGATGTATCAATTTTATCTTTTATGGTTCATGCCCTTCAGATAAATCTTTGCTTAATCCAAGGACATTAAGATTTTTTTCCTGTGCTTTCTTTTAAAGGTTTTATAATTTTAACTCCTGCATTTAGGACCAAACTACATTTAGAGATGATTTCTGTGTATGATTGTGCAGTAGGATTGAAAAAAGTTATTTTGGATATGGGTATCTAATTTTTCCAGCAGCATTTAATGGAAAAACCAACCTTTCCTTCCAGTGAATTGTCTTGGAGCCTTTGTCAGAAATTAATCAGCCATATGTATGTGTGTCTATCTCTGCACTCTTTCTTCCTTCCTTTCAGTATATGTCTATCTTCATGTCAATACCAAACTCTCTTCATTAGGGTAGCATTACAGTAAGTCTTAAAATCAGGTAGTGTAAGTCCTCCAACTTTGCTCTTCATTTTCAAAATTGTTTTGGTGATATCAGGTCTTTTTCATTTTCATAAAAATCTAAAATTAGTTTATCCACTAACAAAATCCTACTATTATTTTGATTTGCATTGCATTGACTCTATAGCTCAATTAGGGAAACATTTACATCTTAGCTATGTTGAGTCTACCAAATCACGAGCACTCCATTAAGACCGCTCCAGGTCTTCTTTAAATTCTCTCTGCAATGTCTTAGAGTTTTCAGTATATATATCTTACATGTATTTTGTGAAAGCTATTCCTAAGTGTTTCATGTTTTTGTTTTGATGCTATCATATTGGTATTTTTGAACTTTTTCCAATTATGGATTAATTATTCAAATGATGATCTTAAAAGTCAATCTTCATGTTTTATTTTTTCCATAGTCAACAAGCACAAGCCATGGATCGAGACATCGTATCATGGAGTCATTACTGAGAACAATGACACAGTCATTTTGGACCCACCACTGGTAGCCCTGGACAAAGACGCACCAGTTCCTTTTGCAGGTGAGATGATGGCTTAGCATGGTTGGGTTTGGATCACTGTGTAGACAAGCTGGGAAACCTCACAAGGCCCAGGCTCCTGCTTTATAGCTGTTGTCACTATGCTGTGCATCTTATAGATCAGCCTGTGATTTCAAAGCTGTGTGCCGCTTCTGATTTCTCATGCAGATTCTGTATCTCCTTATGTTTTTTCTCCTTGGTGTCACCTCCAATGCAAGGTGATTATTTCTTCTTCTTCTGAGAGATGGTATATTGTTGGACTTTGGAAAGGTTGGGCCAGTAAGTTCAGTATGGGAATCCTCTCTAGAAAGATAACCCATAGACAGGAGATAGTGTGTGACCCACTGTCGTCACTAACACATATCATGGACAGGTGAAAACTTGTAGCGTCATAGATTGGCGAGAGGAAAGGGAAAGAAAAAAGACCAGGAAATATTCGCTAAAAGTAGGACAAATCTGTGCCCTTGAGCTTCAAAGTGAGTGTTGATTTTGGAGAAGGAACCCAAACGCAGTGCCATTTTGACTTCTGCAGCTTGTGGACAGGGAACCTTCTCATTGTTTTCAAGTCCAACTGCTCCCTCCTCTAACCTTTTGCAAGGTCCAGGTCCCAGGAGGAGTGTGTGGAGAATATGGCTATGTCTCATGTTTCCATAGATTTCGGCAAAGAGAGGGGATGGGTGATGGCAGAGGGTGGAGAGACTGAACAAAGAATTTCTGAAGATGCCTGCAACATGAGTAATATTGTTAACATTTTATAACTGTCAGGAGACAGACAGGAAATTTAATGAAGGTTTTCAAGATTTCTAGAAGATTGCTTTATGATAGATGGGTGCCAGACTGAGGTTTTCACCATGATGAAGTCTATTTTTTTTGACAGTTTGTCTGCTACATTATGAGCTCCTTGGGCAGAAAAAATAGGTTCTTTTGCACTTTGAAGAGATAAGCTTTGTGAAGGGCCTTTTTTCATCACAGAATATTATAAAGTAAGGAGCGAGGGAGTGCGTTAAATGGGGCAAATTCAGCGTTATGTGAAGATAAACCCATAAGCATTCTTGCAGAGCATGGGGGAGATGTTCTGGACTCTCAGAAGAAGGCTTTATTTTGATTTAATGCAGAATGATAACCACCAAGGGCACCTGACTGTGACTTCCATGGTGTTTGGAGTTGGGACATTTCCATACATCTTCCAGCCATCCTCAGAGATCTCAGCTCAACCAGATTCCACTGGGAAGTATAAATCCCGTGCTGTCTTTTCCAAAAAAGACAAGGTGTCTTCCCCAAACTTTGGCCAGCCCGGGAATGTTCCAACTCCTCTCTTTCTTGGACATAACTAAACGGTATCGGCAATTCTTAACAATCCCCTGAAATGAGATTTTAAAGCAAACACTAGCAAAAATGTTTGTGTTATGAAAATGTTGGATTTGGCACACACCGTGTGCTTAAAAAATTAGGTACAACATTTAGCTATTGGGAGATTTAGCATTGAAAAAAGAGGATTTTGGTTTACCTTGATGAATTGGATCAGAAATCCGGAGCTGAGCCTCGGCTTCCCTCTCTAGACACGCCGGGTGCTCCTGGCTTCCCTCAGCCTCTTCTCCCAAAGCCTGCGGCAGAGGCCCCTCCGCCAGGCAGCCCCTCTCCTTCACCTTTCCCTTCCAACGTGTGGGCCCTCTTTAAAACAGAGCAGAGCAAACCAATGGCATTTTAAGTGGGAAGTAAATGGATGCCGTTAAATCCCTTTAGTGTAGTGAGGCTTACTCTGTAAAAGGTGAGGGATGTGTCTGATTATTACGTCTGCCCCCCGTGTAGCCCTGTTCCATCCATTAGTGAACCTGGAAACTGCAGCAGTGGAATCAGCTGCTCTGCAGTCCAGCTACAAGCTTCCTCATGTACAGACCAAAATGGGAGGGGGGAGAATTTCCAGCAGATCTGATACTTCAAAGGTGGGATTTACAAAGGATAACTTACATTTTTTGGTGATAGGGCTGAAGGACAATGAACCATTTTGGTGAAAGGGCTGAAGAGTCGCCAAAGGATTTCCTTAAATCATAAACCTCCCAAATGCCTTTGAACTTGAATTTGTATTCTAACTATTATGTGTCCATGGGTTTTGGGCTACATCTTGAGATGAAGGTTTACTTCTAAACCAAGCCCTGACTAGTTATTTTCATCTGAAGGCAATTTCTATACTCCTCCTGATATTTGCAGCTGCATTAAAAAAATCTTCCTTAATGCATCAAAATATAATCTTCCAAGCTCTTAAGAGCAAAAAATAAAGATGCTTTTAAAAACGGTCAAAGCCATTTTTCTCTGTGTTATTTATGATTAGCTCTAAGGCAGGACACAGGCACTAGCCATCCATCTATGCTGCAAACGTTTATTTTAAAACATTTATCTTAAAAAGAAAATACAGATTTATTTCAGATCCCTATCATTCTCATAAAATTGAAAAATTCATATCTGCCAGCTCCATCATTTCTTGAAGTCAACTGCAGCCTTTAGTCCCCCCTTATCAAACTGCTCTTGTATTGTGGCACTTTCTACCCTTTTCCCCATGGTCTTTATTTCCAATTTAGCCTGTGGGGTGAGTTATACGTTTTTTGGGAGATGGTTCCATTCGAATTGTATTTTCTGTCTTGTTTCTCTTGTGATTTCCACTCCCCCTTTAACAAATTTGTCATTTGTTTAAATAAAAATCATGATTCCATTTTGCATATAAATGCAAAATTCGGGGATTTAAAATAGTTTTTATTGTATATCTCCTGATTATGACAATAACAAGTATTTATTGTAGAAAATGTGAACAATATAGCAAAGCACCAAAAAAAGGTATCAAAAATGTTTTTTTACCCCCAAAGCCTTTGTTAACATTTTAATGTAGTCCCCTCCACTCATTTTTATACTCTCTTTTTCTATCTTATATTCAATACTATAATTTATTTTTCCCACTAAAAAAGTGAAAATACACCATTTTATTAAATATTGTTCCGCAACTGATTAAATGGCTAAATACTTTCTTACTCAACAAATATTCTATAGTTTATAATTCTTTTTTCTAACTTTATTGAGATATAACTGACATATAACATTGTGTAAGTTTAAGGTATACAATGTATTGATTTGATATGTGTATATATTGTGAAATGATTAAACCATAGTCTTACCTGACACCTCCATCACCTCATATAATTACCATTTGTGTGTGTGTGTTAAAAATATTTAAGATCTGCTCTCTTAGTAACTTTTAAGTATATAATTCAGTACTGTTTACCATAATAATCATGCTGTACATTAGATTCCCCAAACTTACTCATCTTATAACTGAAAGCTTTTCCCCTCTGATCACCATCTCGCTATGTGCCTTACCCTCCTGGTAACCACTGTTCTTACTCTTGGTTTCTGTGAATTTGCTTTTTCAAAGCTGATTCCACTTATAAGTGAATCCACATATAAGTGATAACATGTATGTTATATAAGTGATTCCACATATTAGTGACACCATATATTAGTGATTCCACATAACAGATCCTACATATAAGTGATACTATGCAGTATTTGTCTTTCTCTGTCTGGCTTATTTCACTGAGCGTAATATCCTCAATGTGGTTCATCTACGTTGTAGCAAATGGCAGGATTTTCTTCATATACATGTGTATGTATATAAATATATATATACATACATATATATACATACATATATATATATAATCTCCCTTCATCTGTTGGCAGACACTTAGGTTGTTTCCATATATAGGCTATTGTGAATTAAGCTTCAGTGAACATGGGAGTACAGATACCTGTTTGATATCCTGATTTTATATCACTTGAATATATACCCAAAAGTGGGATTTCTATATCATATGGTAGTTCTATTTTTAATTTTTTTAGAGACCTCCATACTATTTTCTTTAGTGGCTGTACCAGTTTGCATCCCGTTAATGGAACAGAAGCATGTGATTCAGTGACAATATAATGAAATCATATTACAGTAGCCTCACTATCTTCATCCGTAAAATGATATAAGCTTTCCAGGGTTGTTGTTTTGATTAACTTTAAAGAACATCTCTACTGCATATTGTAGTGATTCAAGGTATAGACATTTAATAAACTTGAGGTTTCTTTTCCAGATCTCCCTCTCTGCCTGTCTCATAGACGGGACATCTAACTCCCAGAGAGACCACGCTTTGCTCCCTGTCCCTGAGCAGGCTCACTGTGGGGCTGCACGTCTCCCTCTGCTCTGAATCCCACTCTCCTATTGCGTTGCCTTTTGAACCTGCCCCACCTGAGAGGTAGACGCAGCGGCTCTTAGTCCGTGAAGCTGCCCTCAGGCCTCAGTTGAGTCCATTAGACCTGACTCGGTTCTCAACCCAGTATCTGAGCCCAGTGGACAGGCCCCTCTAAGAGAACTAGACGCAGAGAAATCCTCGAGTAATAACAAAAACTCTCTTCACCGCATGGCAAAGCATGATAACGAAAGCAAATTGGGCACATTTTGAACTTATTAATTTCTACATGAGCCCCCCTGAGGCCTATTAGGAAACTGTGGAGACTTTTAAATTTGTAGGAAATTAGATTGCCTTTCAGAGAAAATAGAACTATTCATTTGCTTACATTGGGCCACTCTGGACATGCCTTTTGCAAGGACAGGGCTACAGAAAGTGATCCCAGCATCACTGGCTGGCTTCTCAGGCTGGTGACTCTCTGAAGGCTGCCCAGAAAATTGCCTGGGACTTGACGTGGCCTGGTTTAACTGGCTGGTGGCAACGGGAGGTGCTCTTTTCTCCATGATTAATTTCATTTGTCCTCCTGAGCATTTTCTGCCACCTTATCTTTGGACCTGTCCAGGGCCCTTGTTTGGTGCCTGATGGCAGAGACCATCCCTGAGGCCTTGGAGTGCCATAGTTTCTCATGGCCAGAAGGGAGTGCTGGCTGTGAACAGTCATGGGCTTTGACCAGGTGCCCATTGCTTTACACTTAGGGTCTGCTACGTTTGCTAGCTGTAT